TATAAAGTGTTAAATGTCGGATTTTATTCCATGACGAAGGAATGTTCACAGCCCCAACCGATCTTGCGCTTTCCTTTGCGTTTAACAACGGCCGTCAATGCATCTCTAGACGAGTTCATTGATTACTCTTGTTGACCCATCTTTAACATATGCCTATACTTTGAGTTATAGTACTTTAATAGCACAAAATTAAAAAATAAATTAAAATCTATCCTTGATAGATCTATAGTTTTGCTATTTAAAAAAATGGGCTATCTTTGATCTTTGCTTGGACTTGTTTCGAATCTATCATTGGAAAGTTAGATGGTACACATGTAGCACAGGCCCATAGTACGCGGGATTTTTTTGGAGCCCCCCCCCCCACCCCACCCCTTCACTTTGAAAACGTTGCTACAGGCCTGTAACATGCTATTTGGATTAAATATTCCTGAAAATGAGTGAGCTGTTAAATACATCTTTAAAATTATACGGTTAATTATATTTAGTCTATGTTCTATGTGAAATTAAAACTATTTTTTTAGGCATCTGCAACGTTGTGATAATAAAAGTCACTACACGCATGTAACGTTATATATGTACATGCAGTTTCCTTAGTACATGCATATTTTATTCAACAAAAGATGTTGAAACTCAGTAGCCTAAATATTATGTCATTTTAGGATATTTATGGCCATTATATAGTTGACTTTCTACAGCTTGAGTATCTCTGACGTTTTATCAGTAAATAGTTTTTTTTAATTAGAAATCATCTGAGCACAATGAAAATTCGAATAAATTAAAAGCCGAATATCTTGGATATGGGGTAACCCATATCTATTCTTGTTCAAAAAAAAATCAATCATTTAATTATTGATTGATTAATTATATGTTTTACGTCCCGTTCGAGAATTTTTCACTCATATACAGACGTCAACTATACCGATGAAGGGCTTCTAATTTAGACCTATACTCGGGACCATTCAGCAGTGAGTACTTTACCAACACCTACCGTGGCACGGGACCTCGGTTTTTAACAGTCTCATCCAAAAACCCGTGACTTTCACTTCTAATGCCGGGCGTATGGCGAAGGAACAGTCACCACTATATAAATATTGCATGCAGTTGAGTGTACTTTACCAACATCTACCGTGGCATGGGACCTCGGTTTTTTAAGTCTCGTCCGAAAACCCTTGACTTTCAGTTTTAATGCCGGGCGCATGGCGAAGGAACTGTCACCACTATATAAGTATTGCATGTAGTTGAGTGTATCATTGAAAATTTTCATCCCAAGAAAACCATCGTCAAGGCGCAGCAATGGTTTTAGATTCGAGGGGTGAAAATTTTCAATGTTACACTCAACTACATGGAATATTTATTATTTTATACTGAATGTTTTATACATATTACAGTGAACCTTGCGCGAATAAATTCCGCGCAATCAATATTTTTTGGTCACCAAGAAATGTTGACTGTTGCTACGCTGGAGGGCGTGGCTTCATTATTCAGCGGGTAATATGTTTTTCAACAAATGTGCCTCGACGAATCTTCAGTCTGACGAGGCGCAGCAAATAAGAATCGAACCTTGGCTTCCCATTACGAAGCGAACTCCCTATACTAGGCTACCGTGACCAGTCAATCCTTTAAATAATATATTTTCAACCTCAATAACCTAAGGGAAAACATGAAATGTGACCCCTTTATGTATTGCTCTAAGTATACAAAATAGGAAATGTAGCAATAATTTTTATAAGAATATGCTACTGCTCTTCCAACTAATGCGAAAGCATATTGGTAAGGTTCTTGCATAAATTACTTAGTCTAAGTGCAAAAAGCCACCATTCATATTTTAGACCTCAAGGATTATACTATTAATATTATCCTTGAGTATTTATTTGAATAAGAAGCATTGTCTTGGTAATATATCTTTTAAACTGCAGTAGTTTATAAATGTATCTATATTTCAAACTTTTTCGAAGTGCAAAAAGTCAAGTTTAATTAAATGGGTTTCATTAAGTAACAAAGTATGTGTCACCCTCATTTAAGTCTTTATTATCATTGTAGATATAAGAAATATATTAATTTAAAAAAAAAGAGACAATACAATTTATGCAGGTCAATGTGCCATAAATGAGTGGGTTTTTTAATCGTGTGTCATAAACGCCACCTCAGTACTTCAAATTACCTTTTAATTTCAAAACAAAGTCATATTTTTTTATGATCAAAGGGAAGTTACGCTTACTAAGTTTTATTTCCGAGATATCAATTTTGTTTATTTACAATGGAAAAACACGGCAAAAATGTCAGACAGATTACTTACAGAAAGGAGACAGCAGGCCTCATTAATCTAAAATTTCTAAATGGAGGAAATATGCGAATGAGGAAAATAAGCAACGAAACGGAAGACGCGATTCGTTTCTGACAGAGGACAAAAAAGGTAATTTTTTCGGATTATCAAAAGCTCTCGGAGGACCACTTTAAAGGTTAAACGGATGAATACAATAACGGCCTCAGGCAAACAGTTCTGTTCTTGGGTCCGACAAAACGCACGTTGCCCTCGAACCCAGTCAAAAAATGTGTAATGTTTTGCGTCGCTCGGTATAACGATTACTTTCACTCGATTGGATATACAAGGAGATCTTCAAAGAAGTCCAATGGGTTCAGAGAAGCGCATACATGTAGCCAGATGGAGAAAGACGTTACATTGGAATGTTAATGAACAGAGGTAGAATGTTGTGTTTACTGATGAAATGATGGATGTTATTAAACCTGAAAGAAAAAAAAGTGAGAATATCACCTAAAAAATAGAAACCCGAGTGTTTTGGCATTTTGCACAAATAACGTCTACTATATACATGTAATAGATAGTCTTCGTATGACGTATTTTCCCTTCGAGTTACATGTATATCCCTTGGCCGCCATCTTGGGGGGTCAAACTAGCGAAGTTTCATCTTTGAGAAACAAATTTTAAACATGTATGGCAGAAATACACGGACAGTCTTTAAAATACTAAAAAAGCTTTTGTTAACATACAATGTTTATTCGTAAAAAAATTGGTTGAATAATGAAGGAATCTTGGCTTGTTGACCTCCCATATAGCGACCAACGGAAAATACAATGTAACTTTTGCTAAAATTGCGTCTGTCGAAAATTATCTATTCTTAAAATAATGGTATAAGATGTATAACATGAAACAGGGTAGGACGTTTGACATTTATAAATGGAAATCTGAACGCTCAGAATATATTCAACACTTGATGACAGTATTTGACAGGTTGTCTTTTTGCGACGATACATGCTACTTCCAAGATGACAATGCCCCATGTAACCGGTCCAATAAATCTGAAACTTAGAAACATCAGAATAGAATACAATATAACATAAGACTGTCTTCCAGATCTCCAGATTTAAGCCAAATCGATAACGTTTGGCTAGAAATGAAAACATTTAAATGACCTGAAATTTCGGTGAAGGCTTGGAATGAACTCCCAATACTTTACATTCATATGCTTTGAGTCTGCCAAAAAGATGTTGAGAAGTACTTACTCAGAAGGGGGTATCAAAATAATTAGTGAAGTTGAATTGACATGGAATTTTTGTAAGTAAATTTTATTTTAAACAAATGATAATCATTAAAAAAAGCTCGTTTTTAATGGCTTTATGAGCTGTATTCCTATGGGAAAGGCGTATGACCACGGTTTAGTAGTTATAGACATAAAGTTCTTAAATAAACAAGTGGATTAAAATATTCGTAAACAAGATGCGTTTCATATTAACGTTACTCATAAGTCAGCTCCCCAAATATTGTTTGTAATCAAGTACCTATATTTGTTTATACCTTGAGACGAATTCGCGCGCGTTTTACTAGACAGTAAGTACACGTTTCTCATCAGCGAAGAATCCACGTGCAAAGGTATTTCTTAAGTAAATTTTTGAAATTGGGTTTCTTGTCATGTTTTACATGTATTATACCATATACCTTGAAATTAGAAAGCTAAATGCCTTATAGTTGTTAGACCAAAAAGATGTCCAAATCCATTGAAAGGGCAAAATGAAATCCCGGTTAAAACATGTTCTTTGCTATTTCCTATTTTACCAAAATCAATTTTCAAAAAAGGAATTTTATTAAAAAACGAACTTAATTACTTAATGTTTTAACGCTAATTGTTTTCATAATATGAACACAAGACATAAGTTCTATTGCACTAAAATTATTATGTTTCATCTTTCTAACTTTTCTTGCATGTTAATAATGCATTTTAGGTAACCTAAAAACAAAAAGCAAATCTAGATGCTAGCCCAATATTTGAAAAAAATAAAGAATTCAGCATCTACCTGGTTTTTATAACACGTTATCATATGGTTACATTGTGTTAATACCCCTCTCTCATAAAAAAGAGAATACTTCCGGTTCATTTTTATGTCGGTAAGGAAATAAATAAAAAAAGGTTTTCATTTCTTTCAGGCTCTCTCAATTGATGCCTCTAAATTTATTGTCGTTCTAAACTTCCTCATTTAAATACTTTCCACTATTAAAGGTCTTGCATATGCATCCGCAATTCAAAACCACTCTCGTGTAGAAGATGGAATTTTAACAGGAGGAAGATTTATGATGTATTTGAAGGTAAGATGTGCTTAGATTAATTAATTAATCAATCTTAATCTTAATCAATTAATAATTAATCTTAATTTACATTTCTGATCAACTTCTTTGTCCTTCCTTCTTTATTTAAGATCTCTGAGAGTAGAGATTATGCAGGTTAATACATATATGATATACAGAGTAATACTTTATTTTTATGAGGGGCAAAACAAAGCTGAAATCGATAACAAATTATTACTAAAGGGATATATTCTTTCAAAACACCTTGATCACTTAATGACACTTATATATATATAGATATTAAATTATATATATGTCGCTAATAGGTAAGATTCTATGAAAGTTAGCATTTCAAATAAGGTGTTGAGCAAACCTTTTCGTGTAAATATACATGTGTAAATGTGTAAAAACAATTTTGCAGCATTACAGAACCATGGGTCTTCTTATGCTCATACTGCTGGTCCTGTTTGTCAGGGAATCCAATGAAGAAGGGAGTGTTAATGTTGGTGTTGTTATTAGGATCACACAGAACGGCCTCACTTACGGTATGCATGGGGTCCTCAGTTGTGTTATTATGCTTTTGAGCATATATATACATGTAATGAATAATTCTAAAATTTAAGCAACAGTTTGATGATATTAAGCATTTTCTGAAGAATAACTAATTTAAAAATTGGTGACCTTTGGAACTGACAAAAAGATGACAATATTTTATAATCCGATATCTTACCTTTTCAGCGTTGAATACAATTTTGGAATCTATTAAGAAACTGAATCTTTCTGCATTCAGCATACCTTCAACAAACGAAACTACAAGCCACGTTAATTATTCGATTCAAAAGTAGAGTTACCTTTCTTTTCCTTTCTGAACAAACTATTGGCTTATCTGGAAATATATCTTGCCAAAAAAAAGATTATATATATATATATATATATATATATATATATATATATATATATATATATATATATATATATGTGTGTGTGTGTGTGTGTGTGTGTGTGTGTGTGAGGGTGTGTGTGTGTGTGTAAAGTTGTATATTTAGTTGTAGTATGATTTTAAATTTTCATTTCTGAATATGTTTCGTTTAAAGTAAAATTTCCGGTAATTACGTAAGTAGTTTTGAATTACAATCTTCACAAAGTCACATTATTCGTTGCTCAGTAAAAATAATTTACATCTTTCAGCTTAACATTTACAGATTATGCCGATCTGAACGCAACTGCTGTCATTCAAGAGAGTGGATTGAATATAACGGTCCATACTATTTTGGTAAATGTAGATGGAAGAGTAGAGTGTCGCGACAAAGATGAAAGGTACTGCCCCACCCCAATGACCCAGTTAAAATAGATATGAGCACAGAAGCACAAGTTATTTTATAAACACCTGAAGTACTGGTTATAGCATTGGAAGAACTTTTGTAAACGGGTGCATCGTTAAATTTACCCCCTCCCCCCAAAAATTCGTTCTAAATTTATACTTTCACGTATTTTGAAAGAAATTCAAAGGACCTTTATTTCAAATTAAAACAAAGTGCGTGTCATATATTTTTAGATATGTAGACACTTAGAGGGGCAATAGGGAAATATATGGGGTCCTTAAAAATGCTAATTGGGCGAGGTGTAAGACTCTCCTAATAAACTTTTTTTTTCAAGGACCCCCTATTTTTCCGTATTACCCATCCTTGCGAGGTCAAGTGAAAACAACATATGGAATTTGCTGTTTGGTGAATTGGTTTTCTCCTCGTCTGTCTGTCCCGTCCGTTTGTCCCTCTGTCTGTCCCACTTAGTTTTCCCCACTTTCTTCTAAACGCTTGCAAGATATTGAGCTGATTTTTGGCATGTGAGTGTACCCTAATGAGTTACATATCGAGTTTCCATTATATTCCGCTTCGATGATCTTTGACAGTTCATTGATTGATTGTGTGCTGTTTTACGTCCCGTTCGAGAATTTTTCACTCATATAGAGACGTCACTATATACCGGCGAAAGTCTTCAAATTTAGACCTTTACTTGGCACTCGGGGCCATTGAGCAGTGAGGATTCTTTCACGGGGCCTCGGTTTTTAAGGTTTCATCCCAAAGACCCGCAACTTTCACTCCAATGTGCCGAGCGCTTGGCGAAGGAACAGTTGCTACCTATTTTTTATCGACTTAGGTCAGTCGCGGCCATGATTCGAACACACGACCTTCCGATCAAGGAGCGTTTTTTGACAGAATTAAGACCTTTTTCAAATTTTAAAGGGAAACCAGATTTCCGCACTTTTTTCCCTAAAAGCTTGCAATTGCGGATACTGAGTTTTTTATATGTGAGTCTACCTTCATGAGTTTAAATTTAAGTTTCCATTTTATTCAGCTTCAATGACTTTTGGAACTATGGCCTTTTTATTTTTTTATTGTTAATTTTATTTGTTTAAGTAACCCAACTAAATCACACATTAATATAAAACTAAAAATAACTGTCAAAGTGGATTGTCCTTTTGCATATGTGGTTAAGCCCTTTACCCTTTAGTTAGAATAATCTAGCTGTGTCTCGGAACAAGCCATCGCCACAGTTAGAATACGTCCCATATAGTTGCAATGTAGCAAATCGGAGCGGATTCGCTCCGAAATGATTTTGAAGAAAAGGGAGTTGGCACTGAAAATAAACTACCAAATTAATCACAATAAACCTTTATGAGATTGTGTAGGCATTTTAACCTGAACAAGATGTGTTTGTGAAACACTGATGCCCCCGTATGACAGCTTCTGGCGAAGGTTAAAGCTCTTGAAATGCAAGTTAAACTCCAAGGTCAAGAGATGAAAAATGTTGTTTCCAAAAGAAGGACTTGTGTCAGTGGATATACCTGGTACACGTAAATATGAAAGCCCAAGCACCAACCATTCAAAAGAAATGGTCAAGGTTAATGTTTTCTAAAAGTGGGTCAAACTCCAAGGTCAAGGGGTCAAAATTAATGGTACGCAGGGAAAGACTTTGTCATAAGAAATACACATGCAAAATTTAAAAGCCTTAGCACCAACTGCTCAAAAGTTATGGCGAAGGTTAAAGTTTTTCAAAAGTAGGTCAAACTCCAAGGTCAAAATTGTTGGTATCCAAAGGAAGGTCTTGTCGAAAGAAAATTAATGTACCTGTGAAATTTGAAAACTCTAGTACTAACTGATCAAAAGTTATGCCCAAGGTTAAAGTCTTTTCAAAAGTGGGTCAAACTTTAATAAGGTCAAGGTCAAGAGATAAAAAAAATGTTTACACTCATGGAAAGGTCTTGTCACGATGAATACCCATGCGAAATATGAAAGCCCTAACATCAACTCTTCAACATTTATGGCTAAGGTTAACGTTGGGTAAACTTTTTATGAAAAAGATGAAAATTCAACTCATTTTCTCAACATTTTCTCGCTTCGAATTTACACGCCATGTCGACATTCGGAACTCTCTGGGTTGTTCATAGTAAATGCATTGAGTTAGAGTTATCGATCGTGTTTAATTTGCTACATTGCCAATTTATTGCCAATATATCTTTAAATCGGATCCATTGGACAATATCTATCTAGTTTCCCTTATACCTAGCAGAAACATACTACATACATGTTTGCCTTAAATTATGTTAATTAATTGTAATACTGCTATTTCAGTGTATATTTAATCATTTTCCATGAGAAATTCAAAAAGTATAAAATTAAACATTTCGTGCCCTTTAATAATGTTAAACCTTTACTCAACTCGAAAATCTAGACGATTAAACATGCTAAAGCGTAAATGCCTTCTCGGGATAATTTGGTACGACTCGGAGATGGCCAGAGTATTTTACAACGAAGATATTTACCTCAATGTATTAACAACAATAAAGTCGATGCATAGTAGCGAGAAAAATGATTGAAATAAGAACATGAATTATTTACAAAAATATCCTCTTTTTTATTGCCTGCTTCAAAATATATGATCGTGATTATTAATTTTATAGACGACCTTACAATGTTAAACAAATAACGATCCCGGCCCATTTAAATTTGAGTTAAACCCCCCCCCCCCCCCACACACACACACACACAATAGGCAAAAGTTTAGACTTGGGTGCAAATTGTTTTAGTTCTTCTATATACAAATATAAAATCTTAAGAATTTTTTTCCTTCAAAATTATAGGAAGGTTAACGTTTATGACAGATATGTACAGCGTTGGTACGTGTAAGACAGGACAAAATTAATTCTTAAATATGCACAAAACCTGTTAACAGGTCTGTTTAATTTAATTCTGGAAAGTAATCGAAAAAGTGTAAATCACACAATCATGATCATGTATTTAAAGTCAGAAAATAAATACATGTACACATAAAATAATTATTTTACAATCAGCAAAATTTTATTGTTATATCAAAATCACTTATATATGTACTTCTATTTTAAAAATGAATGCACTTTTTACTTATTTTCCCCAGATATGTTCAGTACTGTGGGATAACGATGACGATCACCGGTTCAGGATATTTTCTAGGGTACATAGGTAAAAACTAAAATGGTCAATTGTTCCGAACTTATTTTAAAAGGAGTCTTTGAGGAGTTTTGCTCTCATTTCTTACATTTATACTTCATTATATCTGCACATGTAGGGATATGAAAAGTGTTAAAATAATGTTGGACTTGAGCGATTTAAGCTTTCCTAGAAGTAAGATTTCTTTTTAACAGATTTCTTTCGAACAAGTTTTACTGTATTTGAAAGATCGCCGTAATCAAATCAAGTAAATTCCATATTGTTGAGAGTCTTTCTTCCTTGTACATTCAGGATATCTCGTTATATATCGTTTAATTATTCTTTTAAGAGATCTAATTCAGTTATATCCATGGCAAAACTTTGTGTACCATTATATGATCATTTTGTACTTGATAATATGTGAAGGGAAAACTGACCAAGGTAGATTTAATGTGTGGGTGAAAAAGGATAAGGGAAGTTGCTCCATTCCTCCACCAAATCTTAGGATCAGATACACAGACTGTGAAAAACCTAGAGATTCCATATGTGCAACAAATTCGTCGGAACTCGAAGAAAAATTTATAAAGGAACAACTTAATGAGGACAAGGTAAGAATATTCTTATTAATAATAAATATGTGCATCCCACAGTTGTTTTGCTTTATAAACATACGCATCGCATGGCTAAAATTGTCAATGAAAGTAATATGATCTCTCTCTCTCTCTCTATATATATATATAAAGTATCAAGTCGTTTACACAGTGACAGTAGATAAAATATGCGTTAAAAATTAAAAAAAAAAAAAAAAAAAAAAAAAAAAAAAAAAAAACTCTAATTCTAAATTATACAGGATTATGTGATTTCTTGTTTCATAAAAATCGTTTTATAACGCATTATTATATTTTCTTCCAGATGTGTAGGTTATTGCGATTCTATTTCTTTATAAGGGGCAATGAAGAAATGAACGCTATCATTTGTACCTATTTTCTTTTTGAAGCTATGTACAGTATTATGTCGTAATGTTGTTAATTTTGAATTTTACAGAATGGCATTAAATGCTATATTTTTTTGTATTTATAGCCACCAAGTAAATTCAAAATTTACATTACGGCAATAAGCTGCAATGTCTAAATCGTATGGATTAGATTAATCGGGATTAAACAAATCGCTTTTAGCTGACATTAGTGGCTTTCGACCAATAAATCAACGAGGATTTTAATTCTTGAGAATTTGTTTTGTAATTATAGTGACTCCAAGAATAAAGGACGTCCCATTTATCGCAGACCTTCTAATGCAACATGAGCCAAAATATGAATCCACATTCTTAAATACTTATCATAAGGTAATATTGAAGTTTCCTGGTATTCCAAAAAAGGTTTTCATGTTACTTTATTAAGTAGATGTCACCTGTTAAGAGTTAACGACCTAGATGAAATGATACTCAAGTTTTTGGTTTTTCCCCTCATCTCAAAATATCGATTGGAAATGTTTTAAATGATGTGCTTGTATCGTCACTTGAAAAAATATAGATATTCCAAAAAGGAAATAAAATTCAAGGAACACTTTTAATTTTTAATTTTATCATATGTATCCAAGTTAATGAAAACCTCATGTTTATATTTTAGGGTGATATATTGTGGTTTCCTGCTTTGGAGAGTTGCAGTTACTGTTGTAAAAATGGCACAATCAATTATACTCTTCATAATGATTCATCAAAAATGGCGTACGTATGGATTTCTAAAGATGTGGTTCAACAATTGTTCGAAGGTGTTCAAAGTCATGGAATGCTTCGCTTTAATATTATTCCCGAGATGGTAAGTGTCTCAGCCCAAATAAGGAATACATATTATTGGTCTGCGACCTATGCTTGTTTGATACACAAGCAAACAAAAACACAATTACTTTAAAAAGGTATTATAAAAACATCAAATATGCATACAATATTAAATGGATTCAACTTATTGAGATATGTTGCACAACTAGACAGACAGACAGGTTCACATAAAGAAAGGTAGAAGACAAACAAAAACACAAAACGTAAAAAGTTCAGTGTCCGACAAAGAAATAATTTCACATAGTTTTCAAGACATCCCTACTTTCAAAACTAAATGCGATGAATGTTGATTGAAATTTGATTTATTTATCAAATAATACTAGTGTTTATAACTCGATGAGTAATACATTTCTTTTGTTTATTTTAAAATAGAATTATTTCAAATACCAATAACAAGGTCTCACGTAATATGCACTTTTTAATTAACGATGTCAGACAACAAAACTTAAGGCTCTTGAACCCTCATCCCTTCCCCGTAACGTTATCCAGCATCGATCTTACGATCTCGTTCCTACCCTCCTATAAATTTTGTCAAGTCATAAACATTATCTGTCTCATCTATCCTACATTTAAATTATGTTGATGATATAAGTTTCCGAGTGATTTATATAAAGGTCCATATGCATGTATGACTTGACAAAATTTTTAGGTCACCTGAGTCACTCAGGTGACCTATTGCTATCTCTTTTCGTCCGTCGTCGTGCGTCGTCCGTCGGTCGTAAACTTTTGAACATTTTCAGCTTCTTCTCTGGAACCAGCAAACCAATTTCAACCAATTTTGGCATATAGCATCTATGGGAGAAGGGGAACAAAAATTGTGAAATTCGTGGCCCCTGCCCCCCTGGGGCCTGAGGGGTGGGGCCAAAACCATCAAAATTAATGCAATCTTTAAAAATCTTCTTTACTCCTGGACATCAAGCAGTCAAACTGTTGGCATGATTGTAATAAGCATTGGGCCCTGTACCAAAATTGTGAAATTCATGGCCCCAGGGTCAGGGGTTCTGGTGCTAGGGCGGGGCTATATAGATCATATAGTGAAAGTGCATTATATCTTTGAAAATCTTCTTCTCTACTCCTGGGTATTATTGAAACAAATTGAATACATAGTTATGATAAGCAAGAGTGACTCTACCAAAATGTGAAATTCATGGCCCCAGGGTCAGGGGTTGTGGGGCTAGGGCGGGGCTATATAGATCATATAGTGAAAGTGCATTATTTCTTAAAAAATCTTCTTCTCTACTCCTGGGTATTATTGAAACAAATTAAATACATAGTTATGATAAGCAAGAGTGACTCTACCAAAATTGTGAAATTCATGGCCCCAGGGTCAGGGGTTCTGGTGCTAGGGCGGGGCTATATAGATCATATAATGAAAGTGCATTATTTCTTTGAAAATCTTCTTCTCTATTCCTGGGTATTATTTAAACAAATTAAATACATAGCTATGATAAGCAAGAGTGACTCTACCAAAATTGTGAAATTCATGACCCCAGGGTCAGGGGTTCTGGTGCTAGGGCGGGGCTATATAGATCATATAATGAAAGTGCATTATTTCTTTGAAAATCTTCTTCTCTTCTCCTGGGTATTATTTAAACAAATACATGGTTATGATAAGCAAGGATGCCTCTTCCAAAATTGTGAATTTCATGACCCCTGGATCAGAGGTTCTGATATTAGGGCGGGGCTCTATTTATTATATAGTGAAAATGCATTAATGCTTTTAAAATCTTCTCTGCACCTGGGCATATCAGAGGCAAAAAGAGTAAAAGTTTCACTCTCACCAGATAGTACATAAACTGGAAGGGTATTTTTACCAGATTTTTGAACATCAGAACCATTTGATCAAGTGTTCTGGTCCAGGCCAGGGCTCTATTAATTTGTATTCTACTGAGAGGAGTTATTCCCCTTTGCCATTTACTTGTGATAATTAATAACTGTAAATAATGTACTTGAAAGATTAATAGAGTAAGAGAATTAAGCAAGAATTTTTATTGTATAATACAAAAAGTACTTTCATAGTTTTAATGATCAGGTAGACTTGTAAGTAACAGATAAATAAAAATGAGACAAAAATAACTTGTCTTATTAAATGTTCATCAAAGACCAAGAGAGGCCAATGTAAGAGATTTCAACAAGGAATTAAAAGAGTACAGAAGCACTGATTATAAGTTTGTTTATGTACTGTCTGGTGAGAGTGATAAATGGGGAACAGATTAGAACCTTATTTATGTACTGTTAATGAACACCCTATTTTTCTTGCTTTTGGGCAACAAAGCTTCACCTTTCAGTTCATTTTATACTCTATGGATCCTCTAAATTGTTGTATTATACTCAGGTGACCGTTAAGGCCCTTGGGCCTCTTGTTAAATAATTTAGAGTATTAGACTTTTAATATTTAGATGGACCTTATATATGTAGGTTAAAATTTTCAAAGGATCTCTGAACCAATAAGACATCTATAACTACCAACTTTGAAAATTAAGTTTCATTTTTACAATTTGGTTTGCTTTCTTAGCTTAGTCCTGGAAATCCTGGATTGAATACTTCATGTTCCGAAGGCGTTTGTGTTGGACGTTTAGTACCAGAGGTTAGCTTAAATAAGTAACAATTATACTTTTTAGGTCACCTGAGTCACTCAGGTGACCTATTGCTATCTCTTTTCGTCCGTCGTCATGCGTCGTTCGTCGGTCGTAAACTTTTGAACATTTTCAGCTTCTTCTCTGCAACCAGTGATCCAATTTCAACCAATTTTGGCATATAGCATCTATGGGTGAAGGGGAACAAAAATTGTGAAATTCGTGGCCCCTGCCCCCCTGGGGCCTGAGGGGTGGGGCCAAAACCATCAAAATTAATGCAATCTTTAAAAATCTTCTTCTTTACTCCTGGACATCAAGCAGTCAAACTGTTGGCATGATTGTAATAAGCATTGAGCCCTCTACCAAAATTGTGAAATTCATGGCCCCAGGGTCAGAGGTTCTGGTGTTAGGGCGGGGCTATATAGATCATATAGTGAAAGTGCATTATTTCTTTGAAAATCTTCTTCTCTACTTCTGGGTATTATTGAAACAAATTGAATACATAGTTATGATAAGCAAGAGTGACTCTACCAAAATTGTGAAATTCATAGCCCCAGGGTCAGGGGTTCTGGTGTTAGGGCGGGGCTATATAGATCATATAGTAAAAGTGCATTATTTCTTTGAAAATCTTCTTCTCTACTCCTGGGTATTATTGAAACAAATTGAATACATAGTTATGATGAGCAAGAGTGACTCTACCAAAATGTGAAATTCATGGCCCCTGGGTCAGGGGTTCTGGTGCTAGGGTGGGGCTATATAGATCATATAGTGAAAGTGCATTATTTCTTTGAAAAGCTTCTTCTCTTCTCCTGGGTATTATTTAAACAAATACATGATTATGATAAGCAAGGATGCCTTTTCCAAATTTGTGAATTTCATGACCCCTGGATCAGAGGTTCTGATGTTAGGGTGGGACTCTATTTATTATATAGTGAAAATGCATTAATGCTTTAAAAATCTTTTCTGCACCTGGGCATATCAGAGGCAAAAAGGGTAAAAGTTTTAATAAGAAAGGGTATTTTTACCAGAATTTTGAACATCAAGACCATTTGGTCAAGTGTTCTGGTTTAGGCAAGGGCTCTATTAATTTGTATTCTACTGAAAGGAGTTATTCCCCTTTGCCATTTACTTGTGATAATTAATCACTGTAAATAATGTACTTGAAAGGTTAGTAGAATAGGAGAATTATGCAAGAATTTTTATTGTATAATACAAAAAGGACTTTCATAGTTTTAATGATCAGGTAGACTTGTAAATAATAGATAAATAAAAATGAGACAAAAATAACTTGTCTTATTAAATGTTCATCAAAGACCAAGGGAGGCCAATGTAAGAGATTTCAACAAGGAATTAAAAGAGTACAGAAGCACTGATAGTTTGTTTACGTACTGTCTGGTGAGAGTGATAAATGGGGAACAGATTAGAACCTAATTTATGAACTGTTAATGAATACTAGACTAATAATATTGTTGATCCTGATCACCCTATTTTTCTTGCTTTTGGGGAACAAAGCTTCACCTTTCAGTTCATTTTATACTCTATGGATCCTCTAAATTGTTGTCAGTATTATACTCAGGTGACCGTTAAGTCCCTTGGGCCTCTTTTTTTTTTTAAAACGTGCCCAAGGTCTACGAGAGGGGCTCTATTTTTTATATTGTTTAAATGCATCAATTCTTTGAAAATCGTCTCTATCCCTGGGAATTTAGCAGACAAACTAACTGCATGGTTATGATAAGTAATTTGCCTTTTCCAAAATTGTGGAATATACAGCTCCACTAAGGGGTTCTGTGGAAAGGGGGGACTGTTGATAATAGGGTGAAAGTGCATGAATTCTTTGAAAATCTTCCCTGCTACTGAGTACTTAGCAGATGAACTAAATACATGGTTATGATGAGCAAGGATGCTACTTTCAAAATTGTGAAAATTGTCACCCAGGATTAGAGTGTTAATGTCGGGGCATGTCTGTGGAATACATGTATACAATGAAAATGAAATATAGTGATAATGCAATATTTCTTTGATAATCTTCTTCCCTGTCCCTGGAAAGTTAGCAGACAAACGAACTGCAGGATAAGGATTCTCAAGGATGCCTCTTCAAAAAATTGAAATTAATAACCCCTGGGTCAGGGGTGTGTTTGTTTGTTTATTGTTTAACGTCCATCTCGAGAATTTTTCATTCATATGGAGATGCCACCACTTGACGGTGGAGAGCTGCAAATTTTGACCTATACTCGGCACTCAGGGCCATTGAGCAGTGAGGGATCTTTTTTCGGCCAGCACCTACTGCGACACGGGACCTCGGTTTATACGGTCTCATCCGAAGGACCGGTCTCCACGTCTCACAGTAGGATTCGAACCCTCGACGTAAGGATCAACTCCTTACTCTGCAACTTTATAGCGAACG